TAAGGCTACTTGGCTGTCAAGCGATCGGAAATCTCGCACCCGGCTCGATAATTCAGTGCTAAACGAACAGCGTCAGTCCAGACTTCTAAGCGTACACATGCTCCGAGGACTTTATATTGACACCCACTACTAACTCTTCGCAGAGCAAAAACACTCAGCCGCCTCTGTGACCAAATGGACGAACATGGACATAATCGGCCCTAACAACCACGGGATGATTATTCTATTTTCTCCAGGATATTTAAAGAAGCAAAGCAAGTTGGTCTGGTAGTGAGCGAAGTCAAAACAAAATATCTGCTGTTATCCAGTCATAACCTTGAAGTCTATTTAGGAAGCCAGTATAAACACCAATTACAATGTCATCCTGGAACACCAAGACAGAGTCACAATTGGCAACAGGCGAAAACCGTCTCTCGACGATGATGACATTCCATGAGTTCCGCCTACAAGTTTTCGAATATTAGGTTGGAATAAGATTTATGATTCTCTGCCTGGAAAGTCGATTACCACGGCCGATGGGACAAAGAGTTGCACGGGATATACGATGAAATTTATTGACTAGATGCAGGTACTCCAGCTTCGAAAGTATTTGATGCAATGCACGTTGGAGGAAGCAGAGGAAAACCTCCAGTCCGCATTAAAACTAAGATGAAGGAAGGTGCGACTGCACTTGGAGCTGGCTTCAATTGAAACTAAGCGAGGTCTACGGCAATGAAGAAGAAGAAGAAGAAGCAGAACAAGAAGAAAAAGAAGAAGCAGAAGAAGCAGAAGAAGGAGAACAAGAAGAGGAAGAAGAAGAAACAGAATAAGGGGAAGGACAAGAAGAAGAAGAAGAAGAAAAAGAATAAGAAGAAAACTTTCGATCTAAATGTTATTTGTAAAACAAAACAAAAAATCACAAAATTAAAGAAATCTATTCATTGATACATTTTAGCTCGTCACTGTGCTATGCTTTCCCCTTTTGTGTGTCCGTTTGTGCTCACAAGCTTGCATTCCGGCTTGTACTAGAGGATTAACAAAAGTTCGGTCAGTTTGCTTACATTAGTATCAGTTGCAATAGTAATGAAGTCAGTTTACTACACGCGATCTGAAATCGTAGCAGCTACTCCAAAAGTTTTCAAAAATGTGTTTGAAACAGGAACAAATAGGATTTACGGCGCTGCTTTTTACATCAGGACAACGCGCCAGCCCATACTGCTGAAACAACGAGTAATTTTATTTTAATTTTTCTGATCAAAGAAACACATCCAGCAATATATTCGGCGGAGAGAGCACTGTATGATTTCTGGTTATTTAAAAAAGCTAAAAAAGTAAAAGGAAAAGTTTTTATTAGCAACGGTTAATGCTGAACTTGATATGCTTGAAAAGCAAGATTTTGAGGACTGGTTTCCGAAATGGATCTAAGGGCTCAAGAAATGCGTTGAAATCAATGGCGATTATTTAGAGAAGATAAAAAGGGACAAAGATTACGAAGAAATACAAAAATATTTTTTTTTCTTCTGATCAACTTATCGAACTTTTGTTAATCTCCTCCTATATGTATGTGTGTATGTGTAAATGTGTCTCTAGTGTTTGTTCGTGCTTTACATGTCCTGCCTGTCAACGGCACTGGTGTAATGTGATGACAAATGAAATTCGACAAAAAAAAAATGAAAAACTTACATGCAATGACTTATACAACAACAATAAATATATGTAGCTTTTTATTTTATCTGACAACAACACGCTAACTTTTAGTAACTCTATCGCTTTTTAGCTTTTCGTTACCTGCAAATTGCTTATGTTGTTTGTCATTGGCGGCTAAACTGACATATTTACAAACAAATACAATACATACATATAAATTCAAATGCACATACACATTTGCTGAACATATGCATGTATGTATAGATTTATGCATGTATATATGCGTGTATTGAGCTTACATGTTGCAAATTAAAATGTTAGTTTATTAAAGGAAAAAATATACAAAAAAAAAAAAAGGAATAAATTAAATTCGAACTAATATTTTATTGTTATTTGCTTTTTCTTTTATTTTCCATGCCAACGAACTATTTGTCAGTTGTGGAGTTTTCTACTTAATTGCCTTTGAAAGTGGTTTTTAACAAATGATTGGTTTCACAGAACTCTATTGTGGCATTTAATATTTTTCATATTTTTACAACAGTTAAAGTGAAACTAAGCAAATCTGTTGAACAAATATATATATTTTTTTCTAACAAGCAAATTACTAGTAACTCTAATACTCAAATGCTTTGATTTTAAACGAGTAATATACATTCGTATAATTTTTTTCTTTATTCTAAAATTTCTTTTAAAGGAAATTTGAATTTGAATTTATTAAAAAAATACAAAGTTATCTATTTCAATGCTTTAAAACTATAGACCTGTATTTTTACGTATATTAAACCCAAATTCAAATTTTTTGTTATAATAGGTGTTTTATGAAAAAATTATTTTAAAAGTATGATATTTAATTTTTTTTTATATTCATTACATATTTATTTTCGAAACCGCAATTCAATAACCCTATTCAGAAAAGTCAACTTAAGCAGTTGAAAAATTTTCTTTCCATGCAAAATGTTAGACTGTCCAGGATTTCTTCTCCAAGTAGGCTACAAAAATATAAATAAGGGGTGATTTTTTAAGAGCTATAGGAAAGTAAGGGTCCGTATAATTTAGTGTTGGAAGATTATTTCAAGCAAATATTGACCGTAATACCACCTGAAATGGTCCATCCGCTAAGCATAATTTTGGCATACTCTTTCCAACATTTCGGCCGGTATCTCAAGAATAAATGCTTCAATTTTGTCCTCCAAAGAGTCACTAGAAGCGGGCTTTTCTGTTTGGACATGTATGATGTAACATAGCTCCAGTATAAAGGAGTTAAATCGTATGGGCGAAAAAATAGTTTGATATCATCTGACGGTAATGCTCACCATTCACAGTTACGTTACGATGCGCATCATCTTTGAAGAAGTTCGGTCTAATGATGCCACCAGCCCAGAAACCGCACCCAACTGTGATTTTTCCTGGATACATTGGTAGCTCTTGCTAAGCTTCTGGCTGATCTTCACTCCAAAGTCGACAATTCTGCTTATTTAAGCACCCATTAAGCCAAAAATGAGCTTCGAAACGCGCGCGGAAGAAGCATGCGTTGGATTTTCTTAACAAAGCACGCATTTGGATAGTAAACTTCAATAATTTGCAAGCGTTATTCGTTTGTGAGACGGACTAAACTGAAGATGTTTGACAGTGATACAAAGCCAAAAATGTGACGGGTGATGCGGAGAGCCGCGCATTGAACGATTTCCAGTTGGGTAGCTAAAGTAATTTTTTCCGTTGAATTGCGCCACACTAAAAAACTCCATAAAGCAAGATAAATCTGGCTCTACTTGTGCAGATGCAATTCACTACACACTTGGTTACCCATCTCTAGCCGATTGGGAACTAGCAGCAGCAGCATAAGCCAGTGACGTTGAGTTGAGCGCTTATCGAGGTGAATACCACTGCCTGGATTTTATATCTAATTATAAAACTTGGGTGTCTGTGCATATGACAACAACTCGCAGTTTCTTAAGCAAATCATTGACAACCGAGATCCATCATGCGGGCACGTATCAACCTTGCGATCAGAGCAAAATTTTTGAAGTAGAGGTCTTCCTCTTACAATGAAAACTACAGTTTATGAGGCGGTGTCCACCGACCTACCTTTGCAGTGTGCTTACTGCCGCCTCAGAAAATAATCCTGATATATAAATCATGGTGTCGTACTAACATCTAAAATGTTAGAGAAAATTTACTTAAATAAAAAATTAAGCTAAATTTTCCACCTCTCTCCGCCTCTTGACAGAGAATGTCAACCCTTCCGAGTGTATTTCGTACATGAACTAAAGCTCCCATCAAAAAATCCTCAGCAGTTCGGAATCGGCTTAATATATACTGTGGGTCCCTTCGTTTTTATGAAAACAACATGACGCAAAACTACAAATTGGAAAAGGAGCTCGGCGGGAAATAGATATATAAATCAAACAGTGTTTTAGGGTGGGTAGACCAATTGGAATAAGTCGGCTGCAATGAAAACAACATCGACTATGTTCCCCATCCTGAAGATGTGTAGCATGATACAGTTCGCGAAGTTGAAAGTAAGCCACCTACGTAACGCCCTCAGATTTTTGCCGCAGCGATGGTGCACAGGTTCCGAGGCTTTATACAAGTTAATCGTCCGGGTCAAGAGTCGCAGACGGTAGATATATGTATATAATTGGATTTGCTGAAGGTAGTTTCGAGATCTTTCTCCTATTTGTTGTGCGCGTCTTAATATTTTCTTAACAATTGGGAGGACCAATAGTATAATAGAGCTTTTTGTTTCAAGTCAGATATACACCCGAAGGAGTTTACAACTCCTACCGGGATGCAACTGTTCATCCGAAGGACTTTCGGGATGCATAGTGTATGTGATTTAAGTATGCAATGTTGAAGCAAATCATATGAGCTGGAAATATTAATGATAATTATTTAGGTTTGAGGTCGGCAGTCGTTAATCACAGAATAGAATTTGAAATTTAGAGATTCTAGGGTGAGTCGAAAGCTTAGGCAATAAAATCTTTAGTATACGCTGAGCAGAAACAAGTCAAAGAAGCTTGATATACGAGTAGACAACGTGGGAGAATTTGTGAAGCTTACAGCAATTGATCTTGATCACTTTTTAAGGTTGTACCGAGGGTAGGCAAAAACTAAAAATTTGATATTGAAATGAAGAGAAAAGTTACATTGATTGAATAGCGAAATGTTCTTAAAATAATATAAATATGAAAGCAAATATTATATATGTAGAGGAAATATATATAATATTGTATATACATATACCAAATACCATATAAATAAATATTTTTTATTTCGCTACTTGGGTTCCATAAAACTTTGTATGCCCTAATAAAGGTTCATAAAATTATTTATGTATGTACGTACGTACATATACATTGCACTAATTTGCATACCTGTGTAGTCCGGTGTGACATGTTGTCGTTGCATGTCATTCATCGAACAACCGCTCGCTGCACTCGTGTACATATTCACATTGAATGGTTCATGGTATAAGCTGCTCTTGTCTATCGACTCTGAGTCATTGTCCATTGTGACGGCCTGTAAAGGTAGGAAATGAGGAGAAGAAGTAATTGAAAAAAAAGAACCAAATGCTGATGGAATGCGTTGGACATGTAAGGATTATTAAAAAAATGTCATGAAGAAGGTATGGTTTACCATTCAGCAAACCCGTTAAATACAGATTGCTACTCACCTTCATGCCATTGCAGTTGAGTCGTTTATCGGCGCCGCCAAGTGTGTCCGGATTGAAATTATGTTGGAAGGCATCGAGCACATTACCGCCACGACCACGTTTATTACGTATGACAATTAAGAGTATGACGACGACAAGCACCAAAATAATTGCAACCAAAACGGCGAATATGAAGCCAATTAAGCTGTTCTCCGGTTCGGGGTGGTCTATGGGTTTGGGTGAAATCACTGATAAGTAAGAGCGGAATAAGGAAAATATAAGATTATAAAGAGATCGGAAATGCGAAAATAACAGAGAGAGACAGAGAGGGAAAAAGAGTGAGAGAAAATAAAAACAAAGTTTACAATGTAAAGACCGACAACAACATTACAGTTCATTTCCAAATCGCAAAATGACTTGATTTTTTTTTGATTTTTTGATTCAAAAGAATTATGTTATGTAAAAAAAGTTAATACATTTTTTTAAAATATCCTGAACTGAAAAATTCAATTCTATTACTCTTTTAGATTTTGTACAAGAACAAGATTTCCAGAATAGAGAATGTATTGCAGGTAAAGGTTGTTTTTCCAAAGGAGCCATAGGACATTATGAAATTAAATAAGAAAAAGAAATCACACATCGAAATGACTCCTCCCGCTGCAACCGGAATGAAATGCCATTTTCTGACCGCCAAGGTATAGTTTCGGATAGAATTTTGAAGAAAAAAAATATATAAAATATTTAAAGGTAAATATTCACTTACCCAGTGGTGTTTGCGGCTCACTGCGTTCACCAAATTTTCCATTAATGACGCGCTCCACTTCATCACGCTGCAATGGGTATTCGGCGTTATCTTGTGGCGCGCCGCCAATTGCACCGTTTGCAAAATCTTCATCTGTAAAATTGCCGAAAATCGGTGCTGGTAGTTAAAAAAGAAGAAAAAATTTAAATTTAGGACCATACCATAGAATATCTAGAAATATATCTGTATTAAAGTTTTGTAAATAAATTATTTGAGCGTTCGCGCACAACAGGATCTAAACGTTGAATGCATCTAACTGAATTAAATAAGAAAATAAAGAAAATTTAAGAAATTAAATTAAAGTAATATAAATAAAAAAAAAAATAAATAAAAAATATTACGAAATATAAATATATTTAAAGAAAATTATATATCTTAAACAGAAACAAAACTGAGCTTAATAAAGAACAAAATAATCCAGTTGCAAATAAAATAAAGTGAATCCAATTAGAATAAAATAGAATAATGTTAATAAGAATTTATTAATAAAAATTATATTGAGATAAAATAAAAAAACACCAAATAAAATGAAATAAGGTAACATTAAAAAAAATTAAATATAATAAAAAATAAATAACCTGAAATTAATAATGTAAATTAAGCTAATTTAAAACAAAAGAAAAAATAGCATAGAATATAATAAAATATGGTAAAAAAAAATATATTAAACTTAAATATAAAAAAAATTAAAGTAAAAATATGAAATAATTATAAATAAAATAAAATTTAAAATAAACTAAAAGTAAATTAATTGAATTAAATTAATATAAAGTAAAATAATATAAAATAAAATTGTCAAAATAAAATGAAATTAAAAAATATTAAATAAACTAATTTAGAACAAAAAAAAAATTAAATGGAACTTAATAAAAATTTCGTTCGGTTTTTATGTAAGAGACAGCGTCATTGTCCATAGTACTAAAGTAATGTGTGGCATCATGTCATACCATACGGCGCTGAAAACGTGTTTATTCCCGCTCGTCAAAGATGGACACCGGCAAAAATAATATTCGCTAAATTTTACAATATTTCTTCGATCAAGGCGAAAATGCAGCCAAAGCGGCTGAAAAATTAATTTAGCTTATGGGCCCGATACTGTAAACGAACGTGTAGCACAAAAATGGTTTGCCAGGTTCCGTTCCGATAATTTCGATGTCAAAGGCGCACCACGCGTCGGGAAGCCTGTCGTCGAAAATTGCGATAAGATCATGGAAATAGTGGAAACAGACCGTCACGTGAGCACTTATTTAATTGCTAAGAAACTAAAGATTAGCCAGACAACCGTACAGAACCAATTGCATAACCTTTGATTTAAAACGAAGCTCGTTATTTGGGCCCCACACAAACTAAAACAAAAAAAAAAAACATGATGTACCGAATTTCCATCTGCGAATCGCCGCTGAATCGCATCAAAGTCGACCTGTACTAGAAGCTGCTCCCCTATGGCCAAACGCTCAAATCGGCCCTCTACTGTCAATAAATAAACCGCTTGAAGGCAGCACTCATCCAGAAGAGGCCGTCTTTAATCAACAGAGGCGGAAATGTGTTCCATCAGAACAACGCCAGGAGGCACACGACTTTGGTGATGCGCCAGAAGCTCCAGGACCTCGGATGAGAGGTCCTAATGCACCCACCTTATAGTCCGGATCTGGCATCAAGTGATTTCCATCTTTTCCTGTTCATGGCCCTTAATGGTGAGAAGTTGGCCTCAAGCGAGGTCTGTGAAAATTGGCTCTTCGGATAAATAAAGTTAAAAAATTAATAAATTTTAAAATAAAATAAAGTAAAATCAAATAAAATTATTTAAAGCTCGGTTCAAATCCCAGTGAGACCAACATTCAAAAGTTATAGGAAATCATTTAAATAAAAATTCCGAATTTATTTCGGACATAAAATAAAGGCTCCTCACAAAAAAACATCAGCCGTTCGAATGCGACTTGGTATAAATTGAAGGTAAAATATCAAGACGAAAAACATCCAATTTTAGGAGGAGCTCGGCCGAAAAATAGCTCCAGCGGTTATAAAGCGCTAATTATATAAATAAAATAAAATACAATAAAAAAAAAAAAAAATAAATTAAAATAATAAAATCTATAGTAAACCAAAGAGCAGATATTTCAGTGAAAGTGGCAGGAGCTAAAAAGGAATGTAAGCTTTTGCAAGAGATATGTATGAATTTAACGGTTTCACTGTATAGCCGTAGGTACGAAATTCAAGAAAATCTAAATAAAATTTTCATCTACAACACTCAATTTCGATTTCAATTTAATTTGTACGGAAAAACGTGGCGTTGGAAAAGAAATTTCCATAACCAAACATCTTTCAATGCTTTCTCCAGATTGAATTTTTGATATATGCATTTGTTGATTTTTAATATTTTCTACAGTTGTACTAAGCGCACTGTGTTCGCATTGAATTTGGCTATTGCAAAATTCTGCAAGCACAAAAATGCTTACATACAAACACACATTCATATACTCGTATTTGAATGAGTGTGCTTTGTGTTTGTGTGCGCGCTCTACTCTCGCTTTTAAGCTTTTCTTAATCCCTTTTAATTGAAATGCATGCTTTTTGTTACTTGCCATTCACATATACATGCGCACATACATACATACATACAAATACATTTTGCAATTGAATATTCAGTTTCATTTTATTAAGAAAAAAGTAACAAAAATGCAACGTTTTACTCGATTTTTTGATTTACTCCTTGCTGTGCTTTCACTCACTTTATTACATATTTCATATTACTTTCAGTGTTTACATTTGTATGCTTTGCTATGCTATGCTTTGTGTATGAGTAACTATTTATGTATGGTATGTACTAAAGTGTATGTGAGTAAATATTCAATATACAGTGTCTTTATGAAAGGCGTAAATTTTGCAATTAAAATCAGATCAATCGAAATGAGCACAATGCTATGCAATAAAGGAATAATAACAACAACACCAACACCAACAACAAGACGAACAATATAAATTTATAAATAGTGCCGAGTTGTAGGTGTAAAAATTGAGAAAGTGCATTTATAGTGAAAAAGTGTATAAATGCATACAAAAGTGTTTTATGCTGTGTATTTGTATTGTATATTGGAAGCCTTGATCACTTAATGCCCACTGAAGCACTTAATCATTTGTAGTTTAATGCCAATGTGCACTTGTAGAATTGTAAAATTGCAGAAATTTGCTTTCGTCGGTGAAATGAGAGTTTGAAAACTTTAATTGAAATGCAACCCATTAACCTGATGTAGATATGTATATTAATAATCAATAATTATACATTTTTTTTTTGTTGGCTTGGTACACTAGAAGGTAAAAAGCTTTACGAGAAAGAATATTTTGCAGCTGGAATTATAATTATTTTTAATATAAGTCTGAATTTTCTACTGTGTTCACGGCCCTGATACAATAGCAGTCATTTATGTACAATTTTGGTCGAGTCTTGCACTAAACGAGCATTGCTTTTGAAGCTAAGTTTTGCAGGGAATCCACCTTAAACAGGCTACATACAAATCAAAGCTCGATGTATGGGTGTGACATGAGTAAACAATTAATCAAAACGCTCATGGACCAAAACTCCTTCTGCTCTGATGAATCGTATCAACTTCGACCTTCTTTTGAAGCGGTTGATAACAGCGAATGAAAAGTGGACCACTTAGGGCAACAACTCACTAACTAAACAGCGCAGTGTGCTGGCACAAAGGGTCTCGAAGGTAATTTTCACAGCCAGCAAAGTTTTTTAATATGTCTGGCCTTTTACGCAAGGAATGAGCTGTTCACCTACAAAGAAACTTTTAATTCCGATCTATACTTGTCAGCATTTGGAATGTCTGAAAGAACGATTCGCCCAGAAGTGCCTAGCTTTTGCCAATAGGAGAGAAATAATTTTTTAATAGGAGTATGCCAGACCACACACATCAATAGTGACTCGCAAGAAGCACAGAGAGCATAGTTCTGCTTTGGCTGGAAAAGAAAGAATTGACCTCAATGGAAAACTATGAAATCGTTAGAAATTGTTGGATTTTTTCCTAAAGCAGACATAAGTATATTAAAAGCATGTGATTCTTCAATGCAATATCCCGTTAACAGTCCTGCCAGCCGCTTGGCAACCGGTCTTCTTACCGTTAGTACATACTTCATCAGCTATCTTTTTGTGTTTAATGCCCGTCTGATCTGGTACCCAATAAATTTAAACTCTTCTTTCTTTAAGACAGTATTTTTTATCGTCTTTTTATATTGTGCGACTATAGTCGACTTTGTGCTATATGAGGCTTAGTCCTTTATGACCGCTTGTCTATCTACCAACAATCTGTAGAGCTACACCAAATATTCTTGCTTGGAAGATATTGCAATGGTTTAGCATCAATATCTGGGTGGGCGCAGTTAATTGAAGCCCCATTCCCAATTTTTATTTCAGAACCTTTTGTAAAATATGAAGAGTTTTGCCTGTATATTCCAGACCTTTGCTCCAGTAATTCGCCTCTCTTGCAGTTGACAACAGCTTACCAACAGTCAAGCGCGGGATAACGTAGTCTACTGGTACACTTAGGAACGACGCTATACTACTGTATCCGTAAATCTTGAATTTCAACTGCTTTTGAAAACACCATCCAATTGGACGCTTCGCAAGCTTTTGCAAACTTCGAGTCTTTCGAGGTAGTTTTGGACTATATTCGAATGTTGGTTTCCAAGTACTCAATAGTTAAAGGTTAATTCGCATATTTCATGTATTTCATGTAGTCTCCTGTTTTGTGAGCTGGGCTTTGTATGAATGTAAGGCGTGGCGGCTGCGGTAATCGAGTGTTTAGCATTGCGTAACGCTATTCGGAAGGCTCCTGATGTCGTACTAACATCAAAAAACATATAGAAAAATTACTTAAATAAAAAATTAAGCTAAATTTCTAATTGCGGTCGCAGTAAATGTCAGGCAGTAAATGTCAGCCCCTCCGAGTATATTTCTTATAAAAGACCAGCAGTCGTTCGAAGGCGGCTTAGTATAAACTAAAAGTCCCATTGGTAGCAAAAACATCAAGACGCAAAACCGAAAATCACAGGAGGAGCTCGGCGGAAAATCGCTTTAGCGGTTATACCTTTAGAGAATCCCAACTCTTCCTACAAAATTTAACCAATTGCTTGATTAGTTGGACGATTATTTGTACTAGAATCTCCTCCTAAAGCGTGAAACGTTACCTCGTTTGAGTCACTGCTTTTGTGGTGAGTTTTAAAATATTTAATACGTTGTGCTGTTACTAAGCGATCCATATTCGTAGATGCCTTATTTTTGGTTAAAACAAAACGTGTTAGGTGCGACAGTTAAGTTTAAGTGATGTCAAAATACAACAATATACCTGTTGAAACCACGATATGGAATACCAAAAATTCATGAAACAGATTTTCTGTTTGAAGTATCATTGAATTGTTGTATGGAACTTTAAGGTAGTGCTTCTAATCATTTTGCGATTTTAGTGAAAAACGGGATAATTCGAGTTCAAGTCATAACTCCTTCAATTTTTAAACACAATTCATAAGTTTTTTTTATAAGCATGGCTTTCTAATTTGTGAATTTTATGACAAGATTCTCAGAACGTCTTGGGCATTGTACTCTACTGGAAACATTTGTTTTTCTTTAATTTGGTGAATAATCCTACTAATTTTTGACTAGCATTTTAATATAGGCATACTATATAAGTATATAACATTTGATCGCCTATTAATTGTAGTCATCACTATAACTCGGAAAGTCCAAGCAATGTTTATAAACGAAATGCCAAATTTTTGAAAAACCGAAGTCAACTTTGTATCTAGAAAAGGAAGTTTCAATAAAAGGTTTCAAAATGGACATCTGGATGCTAGGCAAATATTTTATAGAAATTCTTGGTGTCAATAAAAAATATTTCTTTTACATAAAAACATTAAATTATAACTTTGAATTTAACAGAGTCACTAAAGACAAGTGAAATATTCAGGATAGTCACAACTCAATTAGAATTAAAAATAATGCGCAATATCCCAGCCAAGCAAATAATAATATATTGACCAGTAATAATGACTTAAATGACACACAGAAGAATTCAAGTGCATAAACAGAAAAGAAAAATGATTTAAGCAGTCGACAAAATGAAGCGGAGACTTTGGAAAATAAAAGTTTAACTACGAATGAAAAACCTAATTTGGGAACACAAAATAGTGAGGCTGGAACACTAACAGAACCAGAAGTGTATTAGTTGGAAAATAATAATAGTGAAAAAGATCTGACAACTTCAAAAAAAAGCGAAGATGCATTAGAAAACCGTAAATAGGAATCGCCAAAAGTTTCAAGTAACAGTGAATTGAATACTGGGAAAGAAAAACTCCAGCAACAAAAGATACAAATAACGAAGGTGATGATGGCTGTGAAATGAAAAACGGAAAAGAAATATTAGAGCAAGAAAATAAATATGAAACGAATTCGGCTGACCGAATGGCGAAAATCCGCCTTAATTTTATTGCTGTAGGGACGATCTTAGCTTTCATGTAACCCATCACACCAGAGATTCCCACAAAAACCAAGTGAAAATTTTATACGATGAGCATACCTTGGAGAAACTGAAGAAATGTGCGAGCTATTTTAGCCGACTTTTCACACTGCACTCTGCGGTGGTCAAACTGAAGCCAGAGTTTGTGCAATTTGCTAAATAGCAGAGCGGCGCATGATTCGTCGAGTGAAGATATTCAGAGGGTTATTCGGAAGACGAATCGAATCGAATCGTATCAAATCAAGTGAAATGAAATGAAATGAAATAAAATAAAATGAAATAAAATAACGTAAAATTAAATTAAATTAAATAAAGTATATATTTATAACAAACACCAATCATGGGGAGGGGAGTGAAAGACAATTAAACAAAAAATAGTAATATAAATTATTTAAATTAAAATACAGAGAGATGAAAAAAAATAAAATATTATGCGCAAAAATAAAAATTTAAATAATATATAAACAATTTTAAAGGCTCATTTACGATATTCTTTTATTTCACAATTTTCTCTTTGCATTATGTTAATGAGTCTACAATAATGGGTGTGCGGCCAAGGTCATGCAAAACAAGAAATTGAGTGCAATTTAAATCTTTATGTTCTAAATGCAACTGTTAAGAGCAATTAACAGCACAGTGGACTGTGGATAGGAGAACAAAATTAAAAATTATCAAATTGCAGCTTAAGACATTTAGCTATGACAGAAAATTAGATTTATCTCGATGTTAAGTATGATTTGAAATAATCCACATTTTTTAATATATACCAATTATACATTTTCTTATACTGAAGTAGAATAGATATATTCAAGATATATACCTAAACTAGGTGTTATTTTATTTTGTTTATTTAAAGTTTTAATTTGTTTCCACTTACTTGATATAAATGTAATTTCGCTCAACATAATCCAACGCGCAGCAAAATATAAATGAATTTGTAAATATTTGCCCAGACGATGATGAAGTTTGATTGTCACATCACGTGCATGATCTAGCACGGTGTCGGGCATATAGGAAAACTGTACGGGCTCGCCAGCGTATTGACGGCCGCTAATGCTGAAGAAGACTTTCGCGTGGACGAAAACCTGAAAAGAAAATGGAAGTAAATAAAAAGGAGCAGTTTATTCAAAAAAAAAAAAAATATATATATATATATATATATACAATTATATTATACGATAAAAGTATTTGAAACTATTGCTATACAAATGTCTTGTTACATATATATCAAGATTCTATTCATAAGAATGTAAAATTAGTGTAACAGTTGCTTGTCACAAATAAGTCATTTCATATAAATATGTGTGGCACAAAAATGCAAAGGACGCTTGAAAAAGAGTTTGATGGCACTCAAGTGTAATGCAGTTAAATATTATATAGTGATAAAGAATAAATAATTAATACATAACCAGCGTCATGATTAATAATGATTAGTTAAAAATTAAATAACCAAAAATGAAATAAAACACAACAATATTAAAATAAATTAATTATAAATCAATTAAAAAAGGTAAAAAAATTTCTTAGAATACAAAAATTGAATGAAAAAAATAAAAAAATATTAAATTATGAGAAATTAATTAAACTTAATGAAATAAAATTACCTTAAATAAAATAACAATAAAATAAAGAGATTAAAATTAAATAAATATTATTAAGTAATATAAAATATAATAATATATAATAAAATAAAATTAAATATAAAAAAATAATATGTTTAAAAAAATAAAAAAACGTAGATAAATTAAATATAATAAGGTTATATACTCGTATAAAATAAAACAAATTAAAATAAAAAACAAATAAAAAATATAAAAAAAATTAAATAAGTAAAAAAAAGTAAATTAAAGTATTTAAAACAAAGAGGACGTTTAGGATGATATTAAGCAATACGCTTTGGCTCTTAAAGGAGTAAACTCCATAGGAAAATTTTAGATGTGGTCTTTTCGTAGCCTGCCATAAAAAGGCAAGCGTTGTCAAATCGCACGTCTTGGTGGCTAATTGACTTCGTCCGAGAAATTTCTCTTGCAATAAAACCATATTTTTTGTTCGTATTGTACGGCATATGGCAACGTCTATTCTCCAAATCATGTTCTTCAATTGCAGGCAAAAAAAAAGTCAAAGAACGGCAAGTTTGCTTAGTTACATTTTCTCCGAGTGAGAAATGTGCTTCGTGGCCGAAGAAAATTTTGTTCGAAAAATCGCCGTCCATTGCTGGTTGTTCGAGCACCAATCGTTATCCGTACCGCGTCGTTGCTGTGTGATCTAGTATTTGTGTGGGTGTTAGTGTGAGTGCAAAGGTAAAAATTTTTAAAATGCGGTAATAAAGTTCCAGCTCTTGAGCACGTCGAGAAATAGACACAATGGGGTCTTCGGTTACACTCTCACTTATAGTGGCGATATTTGTGGTGGAATTAGTAAAAGTACCAGAATTTCAATATTGTAATCGATCCAGTATTTTAATTTTTTTTTAAAAACTTTGCCAACTGCCTGAGCAAGCGGACGATTACGGTCACCATAACCTCCTCTTAAAGTACGAAGAGAGACCTCGCTTGAATCACCATTTAACAATTAACCAAAACCTGCTTGAGTAGGCGGACGATGACGGGCACCGTAATTTTCTTTGAGTCACTCTTATTGTGGGGGAATTTTGAAATTTTACCGCATTGTCTAGTTAATAAGCAAGAGTTTTTCGTAAACGCCTGAGTTTATAATAAATAAAAACATTTTTGCTTTAGCAGTTAAGTTTGACACATGTCAAAATAGAGTCTTGTATGTTTGGAACCACTAAATTGGTAACCCTATATATTTAACGACATCAATTGCTTGTTCGTTTTTTAAGCATGAAATGAAAAGATATAAAAGCGCTTACCTGCACATCTTTGATGAACATGTTGTTAGTGTGCAATATAACAGCACTAAAATTTCGTACACTTTCAAACTCAAAAGTTATCTCCACCGGATGACCCAGTAAACTTGGGGTATCATTACGCCAGCCAATCCATTCGAAGCCTGTCGATGAAAATTTATTTACAAAATATGCTTAATATTCATATTTCATTGAGTGAAAATTTAATAATTTTTAAAATTAATTACCTTTTCCGAAACCATGTATGTCTGTACGAAAATTATCTTTACCCTTCTGCCCATCTACAAGTTGGCCCAAACCACCGACAAAACGATCGCTCTCTTCATGGCCATCGTAAGTTTTATCTGACAAATCAATTTCCATACCTCGCTGTACGCCTTTTGGTATGCTATATGAGACGATGGCATCTGTTGGGAGCATAGAAAATTGATTTATTTATTTATTTATTTTAATTAATTAATTTTATATATATGAAAAATAAATATGTAAATATGCTTAGTGATAATATTTTATAAATCAACACAACTATGACAAAGTTGAAGAAACCCTTTTTTATGGAATAAATAACTAAATTATTTAAAGCATGTGCATGTAAGTACATACCGAAATCGATCGTATGCATTTGTATATGTTTATATATGTATATACTGCTTAAGCTATAAACAAATAACTTTCATGTGCTTATGAAAGCTAATAAATATTTTATTTGTGGCAGTCAAAACATATCACATCGAATGCGATTTGGAGATTCAAAACTGATACTGCTCTCACGACGAGCCTGCCTTCATTTACCCATTAGATATGCCTAGACAGCAAGAATGTTACATTTGCATTGCAAAAACAAATTCAAACGGTTGTAAGCAAAGCAAAAATATTTTCGAAAATTTTTGCTGCAGAAATGCAGTGTGGAACACACTCATGGGATGTTTTTTTTTTAAGTTTTTGGGACAAAATGGCTGTCAATATTTCAGTTTATATGTATTTACATATGAGTAAAAGTGCGCAGTGGGAAGGCAACCAACTGACTTATTTCATAGAATACATTCTTCTATTTGTATGTACTCTTGTACATACATATATAAAAATATAAGAGCTTAAATACGAATTTATTTTTGTAAGACGAACGTGAAAGGTTTTGAAGTATTTTGTGAAACTAGACTTCTCTGTTCATGCCAATTGTCGAGTTACAAGCTTTATTTTATTCAAAAGTGAAAAAGCAGGGAGACGCTGAACACGGGAAAGAAGAGAACATCACGAGCAGTTAACAATTTCAAGCCAACATTTTCTGAGGAGAACGCTTCCAATTTTAGCCGCTGCGAAGCAATGGAAGAGAACCAGCTTGTGGATTCTGACAACGATGCAACGGTTATAAGCTTTCCTGAGGCTAAGGTAACTAAAGAAATGAACTGAACTACATCTCAGGATGGCGCAGAAACTTCAGATTGATTCGCACTAATCCAGTGCAGTATCCGCTGCTCTCAATCTATGGTTCTGCGAGGAATACGATACTCATCTGGGAGTCTTAGATATTTAGCAACTGGATTTGTAGACTCTGATGACTACCGAATGAAATCCGCTCTGACAACATGTAGGCGTTCATTTTTATCGAGAAGAAAATCTCTTAATTTCTTCTCTCCCAATATTGCTAATAGAGATTCCATCGAGATTAGACTAGAGGAAAGAGATACTAAGTTCTGTTGTCCCGTATTCCCCACCGACTCAGCTGTTAACTATCAGCAGCAAAGGAGGCGAAGTACAATAAAAGCTTTGAGTATGTGTTGGAACCAATCGAAATTCTTATTATATAATATAATCTATGACCACAAATTGGAGAAGGAGCTCGGCCGAAAAGTCGATTCATCGATCTAAAAAGCGCCAATAATAAATAATCACAAACTTTTAAGGAGGGTTTCTACATGATTAATAATAATCTGATATTGCAGAAATGTGGGAGAAATTCAACTTTTTGACCTCTTCTAGCAAGAATGTACCAGATACTACACTAATTTTGAACTCTTTTCCTGATTAGATCAAATATTGGCGTGTGAAGTCTGATATCCTACTTACAAGAACTCTATTTACCTTTCCAAGAGGTATGAAAGTATCTTAATGATGGAGTAACAAAGAATTTAATTTAAAAAAAAAAAAAAAGCCTGAACTTTCTTTAATGAAACTAAAGAAAGTACATTCCCTGGTAATGAAAGGTCCGATAAAGAAGTCTCCCTTCCCAAACTATAGCAGGGAAAATATGAAGCCTGCTGATTAATGAATAGCATCTTTTCAAAGTTCTTGATATACTTAGGGACACGTAATTTACGGTACGATCCATACACCAGCTTCCAAGCAGTACAAATGGTTATGTTGCTGATATTAGCAGCTTAGTCTGTCGCAGAGGTGTAGATTAGGCTATGAACTCCTTCCAACTTGATAATATAATATTATTAATTTAATAATATTTTTTGGTGGTCTTTCTCCTTTCTCCTATCCACTGTATGAACTACGGGCTTATACTGACGAATCCAAGTTTCATCAATTGTGACAATGCACTGGAAAATTTCATTCAAATCTTCTTGGCACAACTCCGAAAAATCTTTACAACTCTCCAATCGTTGCTGTTTTCAAGCATTCGTGGTATCCAACGCGCTCTAATTTCTTTCTTATTAAAATGTTCATGCGAAATCTCTCGAGCTCTTTCTCTGCTATTTTTAATCCTTCGATCAGCTAATACTAATTTTTTAACTTTCTGAATATTTCCTTTGGTCAGAACCTTCAATGTTTGAAACAGACGTGTATGAAGGGGTTGGCGGCTGCGGTAGCCGAGTGGTTGGCATTGTGTATCATAAAAACATCAAACATCCGAAATTTTTAGAAAATAAATTTGAATAAAAAATTAAGTAAAATTTTCTAATTGCGGTCGCCTCTCGGCAGGGAATGTCAATTACTCCCAGTGTATTTCTATTTTTTTGGGAAAACCTCAAGACGCAAAACCACAAATTGGAGCAGAAACTGGACCGAAAATCGTTTTGCGGATACAAAGTGCCAATTTCTTCTTCTACTGATTTTTCTCGTTTATATGAATAAAATTTGGAGTCCCTCATTTCGTGTTTGTTTTTATTTTATTTTAATTTATTTTTTTTTTCATTGTTTTGAATAGATGATATGATAATGATATTTGTATGCACATACTAACCTTCCCAGAGACAACCGACCACTTCAGCTCTCAAGCAGACAGTGCGATCATATTGACTATACGGATAGATGCGCACTTTCGAAGCGAATATGATTGGCTGCAAAATATTCTCGACTTCACTGTACGTATTGATATTGCCGGTCAGTATCTGTAAGAGAAATAAGGCAGAACTTCATTTAAAAAAATACGCTAATATACAATATATATAATATTTATACACACTAAAATTCCATGGTGTTTACATGCACGTACATGTAATGTATTATGCTAACTAGTGACTTCCTACAAAACCAGTGAAAACAGTCGAAAGCCAAATGCAGAGACACCTAGAAAATATTTTTTTTTTAATTTTTTCCCCGCCTTTCTGCGCTTAACATATTTTCACCTACAAAATATTGCTGGGCGTTGCATTCATAATTTCTGCCGCGACACCTACGCAATTTCAGTTACACGCACGCAGTGAAATATCCAAAGACTAAAGATTGCAGCAAAATAAGAAAAAAATTATCAAAAAATAGTTGTTACGGGCGTAACGTGAAATTCACTAGCGCAAAGCTTGGAGTTGCGGGTTGGCGTGCTCTTAACGTGCAAACCAGGCAGTTCAGCCTATTTGTTTTATGCCACAACAAAACACAACGAAGATGCTTGTAGCTTTGGCAGGCGATTGTTATCGCTTAATGATTAATGTGTGAATATGGGCGAGTGAACGGATGATTGTCGAAGTTTCGAATAACATTGCTCGAGGGTAAAGCAATGAATGAGGCTGTTAAGGTGAAAAGCAATATTATATACATATACAGATAGTTGCTCATAAACACATATATGTATATGTATAAATAATAATAATAATAAGAAAAGGTGTTGCAGTCTGCTTGTAAATTTATGTAAGCAAAATTTTAGGTGGATAATAACTAGAAAAATGTGGGATATGCTCGAATACCTGGCAAACAAGTATTTATAATATGAGCTTTCTCACTGTTTTTTTGTTGGAGATGACTCTTACAATAAAAAAAGTTTAGGCAAAATATGCGTTTAACGGCTTAATGCAACGTCATTGTGGCGTCGCATCAGCGGTGTGTCAGAAGTCTAAAAAACTAGCCCCAACTTGAAACCACCGCACACTATGGAACCAATTTCTTTTAAGGGGGGAAGCTGGTCTGGAATTTTGAGAAAAACTAAAAAAAAATTTTATCGTTAAAGGTGCGTTAGGGTCTTAGAAATAACATACCAAAAGATGGATGCCGGCAAAAATGTCTAATTGCCCAAATTTTTCATTCGACGATGGTGCCTCGCAGGTATGCCCCGAGCGACTTATAACTTTAAACGCGTTTTTCTCGAAATCATTTTTTTTAAACTGACCTAAGACATAACTCGAAGCCCATTCTTACGAAATTTTGACACTACATTCGAAATACCGTTCTCAGAAGAAGTACATAAGATATTTTTATATTACATAGTTTTTTTCGATCAACAATTTTATATCGTTTTTTATAACGAAAATAATAATTTTTTTTAAAGATGCACTTTTTGCGAAAAAAAATATGGAAAAAATTCTACGTATGATTCTTGCTGTTGTTATATAGAAAAAAATTAATTTTTTGATCCAGAAAAAAATTAAGGAGTTTACGTCTTCGACCATGGATCTATAAGAAAAAAAGGCATCTTCGGAGAAATGAAAAATTTTGCAATTGTACCATGAAACCTTTATTACTAAACCTATTTCACAGATTTTCGATTGATTCCTTTGTTGAGTCAAAATAAATTAATAAAATATGCCCATTTTTTTGCGCTCGAAACCAGCTTACCCTCTTAAGGCCAGGTTCCTCCAAGAAACGTGTTTCTTTTTTGAGCAAACTTAATATATTAAAAAAAATATATTCTTAGATGCTTCTAGGAATTACGGAAAAACCTTTGAATATCTGAGCACTTGATCGCAGATATGTAGGTAAAAGGAAAAGTGAAAAACTACAACAAGATAATCATTGACTCGTGCTGTGGGCATTCCAAGTTCGAATCCAATTTGAACAAAGGTGTCTGGAAAAAGAAGTCTGATGAGGAATCGTGCGGGTTTCCGAAATAGCAGCTATTACTTCTACCGTCCAAAACAATTGTTGTAATTTTTTCACTATTTCCAAAAAATTTGCATAGAAGGTCTGAAACAGTTCCATAAAAAACCCAAACAAAATATTTATAAAACAAAGTTTTTCTAGATAAGTAGACATACAATAAAGTTAATCGAATTTGTTCTTTAAATGGTGGCTATCGAAATCACTGCTGAAACACATCCCTTTTGTTGGCGAGTGACGCGATGACTCTCAAACGAATCATCTGAAAGCAAAAATCAAAACGACTTCCGATTCTGTATCGCTTTGGCTATAGCCGGAAATATAAAGAAACATTTTCACAAAAAAAAATTCTTACTTTCTAAATTTTTTACCGTTTTTCCCCTTTTAATTGCATTTAAATTGATTAAATATTAATGAATATTTTTGGTTGCAGGAGGGACATTCTAGAAGTAAAATTCCGTTTAGTTTATGTTGATAAGTCCAATAGGTTCTAAAAAATTCAACAATGCTCACGTTCGCTCGTAAGAATGTTGGTGCTGTGAACTTGAGAATTTTATATCTCCTAGTGAATAGAATAAGTTCAGTTTTCTGCGGACTGATGCCCAGTCCAGCGTCAATGGCCCACTTTTATATCCTTCTCAGTCCGCTTTCCATAATATCGCTTAACGTGTGTAGTAATTTGCAATAACCGCCAGATCCGTATACGCTGTGAACCTACAGCCTCCATCCTCCTCCATGTATCTCAGCAGTTTATTTACTGCCAAAAACCCATAGAAGAGGCGAGAGGATATAGTCTTATGGATGAAAATAGAAGTAGTGAGCTTTAAGCACGTCACAGTCCTTGAGAATGTCGAGAAATCTACAGATTCGGTTCGTCGGCACAACTTTCCCATGCAGATGTAATTTTTGAGATAAAACTGATGATGCACTGGCCTTGTTATTTCTGTTACCGATTCAGGTTTTAGCAGTTTTAACGCGCCTGTAAGCTTTCGAATTTAACCCACTTTCCAGTAACAGCACAACCGACGCTGCTGCAATTCTTGCTTAACCTTAATTTCTGTAACTACAATCTCTGTAAGGATTTAAAAAAAATACGCGTCGTTATTTCGCCGAAGAATAAAAATATAAATGGCCTTCTAGGGTTAAAACATATGCAGCACCTGGTTCTATCGCTTCACAAGGTGATGGGTAAAAAATTATTCCTTAATATTTGTGAAAATTTACTTTTTTCGAAAATGAATATTGAATTGGAATCTTGGAAACTTGCAACATCGAACAGTCATAATTTCCTAAAATGCTGAGGATTAAAACCTTTTGGAGTCGATTCACTATACTAATCGCTTAATGGCCTTCAGGTTGGCAATACAGTGTTAAAATTTTAGAACGAAATTCGGAATATTAATGAAGGCTTAGCATCGGTACGTGAGCGCTTCGTAATAGAACGTACTGAGCAGCATGACCAAAAATCTTCCTACCAACCATTTGGTCTGAAGTTCGAATATGTTATTATACCCATCAATAACTCTCGCTGGAACTTAGATGTTTTTTTTTATCGCTGGCCTACCATTTTACAGCCCGATTTCTTCTTAAAAAATATCATCTTTTTCGAAGTCAATCACTTTTTTTTATTCTTTGAAAGTATTTGTTTAAACTTAGTTCCAATTAAGAATAAGAATCTTTTTAATTTTCCTTTGTCAGATGTCCCCAAGCGATCAACACGCCGAGGGCAGCCAACTCCTTTTTTTTGAGAAGCTCAAATCTGTGCTAAGAAAGAACAAATTAATAAAAAAAAAATAATAATAATATTATTTTTTTTACACTCTGCGATACTATTAATAGTATGTTCTGAAATGAAACTGATTGAATTTTATTTTTTCCAAAAAAACCGTTACCAGAGTACATTAAAAGCTTTAAATGCTAAAGAAACTAATGACGTCCACTGCTAAAAATTAAGTAGAAATATTTTTTTCAAAAGTAGTTTTTTTTTTGAAAATTTCACGTTCTCATCAACATACCTCTTTGCCCTGTATGGTCTTCCAGCGTAGCCATTTCTCAAAACCCGGACGCCAATACTCAAGTACATACGCTTCGGTATACTCCTGACCTTGACCTTTGCCAAAGCGACCCTGTGTGCGTATCGCTGTAATAACATGCACCTGAAGCAAATCTATTTGTAGATATTCTTTAAGACCACGAGAAACCATATGTTTTGGACACCAAGCGCCGCCATTATTATCGACCTTCAGTCTGTAAGTAGGCAGGAAAAGTTAAAAAAAAAGTGAAATTTATTTCCAATGGAAAGTGACTGAAAGTAGTGGAAAGTATAAGTTGCTTAAATACGCATACATAAATATATATAAAATATTGTAAATATGAGTGATTAAATAATGAATTTCCAACATATGCTAAGTTTAATTAAAACTCATTTTACGCTTTATGCGCTTCAGTAGCGCGCACCTGCAATTCATAATTTATGCGCGACTGTAATTAATCTATTTTTTTTTTCATGAATTCATTATTAAAGTAATTCATTTATAATTGATACTCAACTTTATTACTATTAATTTTAATAATAAATATTTTTTTATTTATTTATTTTTTTTTTTGGTTTTTTGTTTTTGCTTTTACTACCACACGGCGGCTTATAATAATAGCTTATCGATTGCCAGCGTAATTAATACCTTTGTTTGCGTCCTTTATCGACGGCCGAAAGAGTGAATTAAATGTGTTAAATAAAAAGGGGGGAATTACGAAAAAAAAAATATATAGAAATACATAAAATATTTTCGCGAATCCAAACAACTAATTGCAAGCGCATTTAATTTAAGCGGTCATTAAAGTGCGATTATCGACGTTGATAATTTAGCTTTGTGTGGCAGCAGCAGCGCAGTAGCAACAATAGAAGCAATAACAGCAACAGCAACTGCAATATTGGGTACCAAATTAATAAAACCAACAAACAGCTACTTTGTGCGCAGTGTGTGTGTTAACGGTAATTATTGGAATAACATATATATGCATAAATTAATGATTATATGTAAGTGTGAGGTTGTGTGTTTTTTAATAATAAACATTTTTCAATAAAGAGCGAATGTTGTGAATTAATTATTTTTAAATTAAATATGTGTCGTTAATAAATTTCAAAAAAAAAAAATTATTTTATATTCATTAAACCTACTTAATGTGTATATACCAACAAAATGGTATATTTTATGAAAAAAGAATTAAAATAAAAAAGTTTAACAACTTGAATCGCATTGTTAATTTTTTCATATTTTGTTAGGAGTTCGGATTTTTCATTATTATAAATGTCGTCACCACGAAGATCTTCTATCGAATTAGTCGGCTCTAACACACATTTAACACAGTTTTGTTTAGCTGACCAATTCGACGATTCTCAGAATATATCCAAACGATCAAGATCACTAACCCCTTCCTCTTCGTTTTTGTCTTTTTATTCTTCTTGATTATGCGATTAGAACCGTTACAACGATAGCGTACGATTTGATCAATCTCAATGCTAAGTTCAACCAGGTCAGCCGCTATCTCATCTTTCCATTAGGGCACAAGGCTTCCTCTTCTTCTGCATCAACCGGCAGCTGCTGTATAGAAAACTTTCAAGGCTGGAGTATTCGCATCCATCCGGACCACGTGACCTAGCTAGCGTAGCAGCTGCTTCTTCATTCGCGGAACTAAATCAATGTCGCCGTAAAAATCGTACAGTTCATCGTTCCATCGTCTGCAATATGCGCCGTTGCCAACGCGCAGAGGACCATAAATCTTAGGCAAAACCTTTCTCTCGAAAACTTCTAACGCCTACTCATCGTATGTCGCCATCGTCCCTGCTTCTGCATCATATAGCAGGACGGGAACGATGAGGTGCTTGTAGATTTTTGTTTTCGTTCGTCGAGAGAGGACTTTACTTTTCAGTTGCATACTCTGTCCAAAGTAGCATCTGTTTGCAAGAGTAACTCTGCGTTGGATTTTCAGGCTGACATTGTTGTTGGTGTTAATATTGGTTCCAAGATAGACAAAATTATGTACGTGCTCGCAGTTGCAGAGTCGACTGTTTGTTCAATGACAAGAGATATTTCCTTATGCCCTCATTTAATATTAGACTCATTCGCTTCACTTCTATCTATGTGGACAAGGCAGAACTAACGGAGAGAGGTTGAGTCCAACGATATTAGATTTGAATGTCATCGGCATACACCACCAGTTATACACTCTTGTCAAAGAGTGTGCTTTGTTTGTTGAAGAAAACGCACGATAAAGAATGATCCTGTTTAAAACTTCGTTTGATACCGAAATTCTCGGGTCTTTCCCAGCATAGCGAGGTCGATTGTGGTTTGGGGTTCACTATTTTGGGTATACAGATAGAAGTGTTTCCTCCGTACAACCTGTATGATTTGGAAATCGGTTACCAGTTTATAAGCCTGGGATCTATATGAGGGTGCTCCGATCTTGGAACTTCCTGTAAATTGTCGCTCTTTTTGATAGAGTTGCAGAAACCCGCTCGGATCTCTATTGTGATTGACTTCATACATTTCTTGTATTTGTTGACGAGCGTTTTTTTATACACAGATTTAGGTGCGTATATTCGTTGCGTCAAGATAGTGACCCTTGTCGAGATTAGCGCCTCGGAATGTTCGCACATACAAAACACTAGATACACGTCTTACATCTATTACAATATGATCGATCAGAGGACAGCCAAGTAGCTTGGTGAATTTTCTTGTGCTCGAATCTAGGGCTACGGACAACCATATTTCGAGCCCCGGCGAAGTCGATCAGCCTGAACCCATTTGGAGATGTTTCGTCGAGGAGGCCGAATATCCCAACAGTCGTACCAGAGATACCTTGTTTGCTCACCCTGACGTTGAAGTTGCCAAGCACAATTTTGACATCGTGGCGGGGGCAGCGTTCATAAGTATGTTTAAAGCGCTCGTAAAAACCATCCGTGGTCACATCGTCCTTCTCTTCCGTCGGGGCGTCGCCGCAAATCAACAATATGTTAAAGAATTTCGTTTTGATGCGAGATGTTAATCGGCGATGGAGTCTCTCTCCCACCACGAATCCAATACAAAATTTGCGCCCTATAAATGGCTGCTCTAGTAAATTTCACAAGGATCCACCTTCTTCCGCCTTTCTGCCGTCCATTAGCTTTTTTTGGCCGGAGGTGATGCCAGCCTTAAATATTATGAGGACATCAACCTGCTGGGCAACGGCATGTTCCCAATTAAGATACCGGACATTCCAGGAGCATGCGTACATATCGTAATCCTTAGAGCTTTTGCGAGGGCGTCATCAAAAGGAGGGTCTCTCATCTAAGTTTGCTTAATAGTTTTTCATTGAATTTTGCTTTTCTTGTGGTGGGTCCCAAACCGCTCGCACAACTGCATGGTATTCGCCTTCTCATTTTAACTCTCCTCCAAACGGATGTTTGCTGGCTAGGGATACTTTTTCTAAGACCGGAGGTCCTGTTTGGTTCACTTCCCGCAAAAAAGGGTAGTCTTTCTGTTACTTAGAAAAAGTCACATTTGTGTCTGAGTTTATATCAAGAAGCTTTCCCAGACATATATGAAGCTCGCATCGGTGTTCAAACAATCATATAAATTTCCTGCTCCCAAATATATTAAAATTTAACAACTTAAAGTATAAAGTTTACTATATTCTTATGCATACGAGTATTTTTGCGAAAAAAATACCTATACACATATGTATGTATGTACACATATCACTTTGTTTACATAACAGCTCACCATGCCAACGCATTTTTACAATTTCACTGTGATGTTTTATAGAGAAATTTCACAATTCTCTTGCACTTTTTGTTTGATATTAACTTTTCGCATTACTTTTTACACACGTCTCTATACATACATATGTACATATATGCAATACATAACTACATTTGTATACGAAAACAATCGGTCGACTGTGAGCTAGCATATTTGTGCCCCCGGGCGACCTATATTTCATCATTAATAACAAAAAGAGAAAAAAAGAGAAACAAAAAAATTACAAGAAAAGGCAAATACAAAGAAATGAAAAAAGTAAAAGTAACAAGCAAAGCTGTCAAATGGCCGCCGCCACTACAACATGTGGGTATGTGGGTTTGCATGTTTGTGCATGTGTGTTGGTGTATACTTTCATTTAGCCATACGTGTATGTGTATGCAAATACACATGTGAATAAAAAAACATATGGAATTTGCGCAAATGTATGTCTCACTGGATTTATGACAGTTTAGAATTGATATTAATGCACGACGGCAGGCGAAGGACAAAAATGTAGTTGCCGGTATGTGTATTAGAGATGGGGTAATGTCCTCTGCTGGTGGGTTATACTAATTTTTTTTTTACACATTTATGTATGTCCTTAAAAAATAGAGACTTAAATCATTACTGATTTTCTTAAATTCTGAAATTAGTCTCTGTTTTTAAATTCATGGAACTCAAACATTATTTTGCATTAGAAGAACACAAAGAATATGGACTAGTAAAAAATAATCCATTAGATTTTCAATAGATGGCTTTTGTGATCTGTATCTCACGTTCGATAAGCTTGATAGGTATAAGCTAGATAGCGCTAGAAAGACGATATTTTGTACTAAAAAAGATAATAGAAGAATTGTTGATGACCTAATTCAGTAGTGTCTGGGCTACTCTCATAAGTGCAGGACCAGCAAAGGCAAATACGCTTTATTTAAAATTCTTCTCCGATAAAGGCGAAAACGTAAGTAAGACAGCTGAAGATGTACATAGTGCTTTGAGTGCTAATACTGCAACAGTACACGTCTACAGTTTCAATTGCTCAGGAGCTAAACATTGAACAAAAAAAAAAAAAAGGAATTTGAAACCACTTGAAAACGGCTAAATCGCAAAAACATTTCCGAAACGGATTATGACAGGTGATGAAAAAGCGATCTCTTACAACAACGGTCACCGGACCGTCGCACATTGTGGTAAAATGTGTCGATTTTGGAGATTAATTCAAAAATCAAATTTATAAAGTTACAAGTAAAGTTTTGGTACCAAGCGGAAGTAGATAAAAGCTTCCATTACTAACTAAATAAATATTTTGAAAATTGTAAGTTTATTTGTTTTCAGACAGTGATTACAGATGATTTTTTTTTTCAATTTTTCGAAGCTGCTTATTTTTTTGACTGGAAAAATTTTGAAAAATTTTAATGCAGCTTTTTTGTTCAGATAATTTTGTAAACTCAAAGTGATTCTAATTGTTTT